AAAATGATATTTTTGACGGTAAAAAGAGCTTTGCCGACACCGTAAAAGATAGCCTTAAGTGGTTTTGTCAAATGTCCACAGATATAATATTTAATTTATTTTGAGAACCTGCTAAGAATTGCAGATTCTGTGTGTCTTAAACAAAAAAAATTGCTGTGCAGGTTTGACAGCCTATAAATAAAAACATATGCATTTTTTTGATGTACATATATACATATATGTACAAATATAATAAGATTTGCAATTTTTCGATGTATGTACATATGTAACTCAATTTCGGAAAAATTGCCATTTATGAATTTTTAATGTTTACCGACGATGTCAGTTAAGAGTTGTAATTGTTTGACCATCGATAAGATGCGGCTAATAATACATTCGAATTTAAATTGCCCGTCTTAAAATTTTCAATATTTCTTTTGCAACAAACCATTTTTGCCTAATATAGCGTCGCCAATATGTGCATTAGTGATTTTAAAGATATATATTTTTGGTTAAATTTTAAATAATTTTTTTTATCTGATGTGCTAATGAACTTTAAATAATTTGTAGAGGTTCTCAACACAAACATTTATAGTTGACCAAGTTTATGAGATATCTGCATTCATGCATAACTAAGCAAATAAATAGTCTAGGCGTCATATACATACATATGTATGTATGTTTTTATATATGTACTATATAAACATTAGAGTGGTCCAATTTTTGTATGGGGAAAAAAATTTTCATCATAGAAAACGGTGCACGCCCTTAGTTTTTTCCTTTTGATATTTGTAATGCCTATACCAACTTTCAGTTTTCTACCGCAACCAATACAGGGTGCTAAATGACCTTGAAATGCGCTACTAGATCGCTATGAAACTGGCAAAAATATTGGTGATTTTTATAAAAAGCTACTGTTGCCATGAGAACTGGAGCTTGTGCGTTTTTTTTTAGATAATTTAAATTTGAAATGTTCTTAGGTTACTTTACCAATTGTTTCATTAATAGATGTACACAATACTTCTAGAGTAAAATATGAGCATCCTCTAAATTTATACATAAACATGTAAGGTTTGGTACCAGCACCTCTTTCGGCAAGAGGAAAAATTGTGGAAGGTGCCCCAACCAAACCCTATCTTGGATTTTTTTTTGTTGGGCCACTGTAATGTACATTTATGTACATATGTATGAAACCGGAATGGGTTGGTTGATCGCCGGTTTTGCGCATCATTTAGCATTTACTTATAAAGCAGTTGCTCATAAAGTCGGCAGCAACTAATTGCTTGCAGGGTGCGATTCTTTCTATATTTACTGTTGCCTTTTGTTTTGGTAAACAATAAAAATTATTTATTGCTGCAAGCTACGAAAATATGTACATATGCATACGGCTTGAGGTCGTTTTTTTGTGCAAAATTACTGTGGAAAAAACAGCACCAGTTTATAAATGGTATAAGTTATAGCTGCTATTTCGGATATCACCACATCTATTCATCAGACTTCTTCATCGAGTTGATACGAAAGTATACATATGTATGTCTGCATAAAAATATACTTGTAATACTTGAAAGAAGTAATTTATGAAGAGAACTTAAAACTTTTATGAAATATTTTAAACGCTAATATCAGCTGGACTGATAAATATATATTTTGTACATATATATGTACATATGTACATATGCCCAAAAAAGTATGTCAAGCAAATCTATTTTTTTTTTTCAATAATATGATATGGTATGATCTACAGTCCTTGTCAATTTCATATCAGCTAGCGTCATCCCAAATAAATACTGAGTAATCATAGTGATAAGGTAGTAATTGTTTTAACGCGTCACTTTGCATTTTTGCTTTTATATTTTATTTGGCCACTTTTTTTTTGTTTATCTTTATATTTTTTTCACGTATCCACTCATCGTGTCTAATACATACAACACTTAATGGCATTAATATTCGCGCTTGTCAATGGTGACTAATATTTGTAAGAATTTTTTAGCAGCACCAAAGATAGTCATTTTATTTAACAATTGCAAAAATATATAATTCGTAATCGCTATTGCTTTCCGAACCAAAACAAGTAAGGATAGCTGACTCATAGTTTGGCAAAATAAGTTGTTTTCTAAGCTAATGCATTTTTTGCACTTTTTGTTTTTAATTATACATATAGGGTGATCCATCTAAACCTTTTTATTAATTTTAAATAAAACTTCTAAAACAGAACTGGATGTCGAAAGGTCAAATTTTCAATTACTCTTTCCAGCATTGCCCGAATTACGCGAGTGATTTCGGCTTCCAAGTTTTGAGTCATAGCTAGATTAGCGATGGAGAAGAAAAATCCAGACATCACTTGCTTTAATTTCACGCAACAAAAACGCAGTTATAATAGTGCGATAGCGCTCGTATATTTACGTAACCTTTCGTCTGCGGCCAACATTTTAATGAAATATTTAAAGAAAATAAATGCCAGACTTATTTTGGGAAAAAATAAAGATTCAGACAACCAGTTTTGTTTTAAGTGTTTTATTTAAAATTCAAAAACTAATGTCTAAATGGATCACCCTATACGAATGTTCCTTACCTTATGACCCAGCATCAAGCATGTAATTGTGATTACTTGTTTTTAAAGAAAAAATCAATTTATTTACATAAGAAATGATTTTCTTGCGCTAGAAATGCAAAATATTTTTATGTCTAAAATTTCTACCTATCACAACATTTAATGCGCGCAAATATTATGACTACGTGTATGTACGCGGAGGCAATCAATTCGTCACGCCACTTATAATATTTTGTTTACTAGGAATTTGCTAATAAAGTATGTATATGTGTGCATTTTGTAGAAGTTGTATTTTTAGTTGTCATTTTACGCTGCAATTTCAAAAATTTATATTTACTAACACTGCACGGTAGTGTTTACAAATTGCTTTTAAAGTATTTAACTGATAAGAATTTTACGTTGAGAAAGCACGTAGAGGGTTGTATTAGATGCTTAGGTGAAATTCTCTCAATAAGTAAGTATGTGGAAGAATTTTGTTTATTAATATTTTTTATAAATCTTTTTCACATTATAGTCAGCTATATACCTAAGTATGTACTTAAATTCCGGTTGTTTTTGTTGACCTTAATTTTAGCTTAATTCAGTCTCATTTTCATGCCGATCTAGGCTCCGGCAGCACTGAATGGGTATTTTGCAATTACAATGCAAAAGTGTATTATTATGGAGTCTTACATAGGAGCATTAGAACTAAACCTTTTACATACTTACATACATATGTATGTTTATGTATGTAAGCGTGGTATGACACAAACCCATTTATATTACTTACTGGATTCTAGATTTGTTTATATTTGCATTTCATTGGTAAATATGAACGCTTAGCTAGACCATTTCATGGTTGCTATTTGAACAGCCGTCAGCTGATAGTCGCGTACGAAATGAGCGCAAAACTGACAACTAGGTCAAATGTGAGTGAAATGAGGTGCATTAAGAGAAATTATGTAGGTCAAATAGAGGAGTGAAATTAAACAAAACTTAAATATAAGCGTTGAATGTTTTACTGTACTTTCAATAGTTCTATGGAAAATTTTTCCATTTTTCTATGTTTTTAAATTCAGGGGAATAAATTAACGACTATCTTAAATTTTTATATGCGAATTGAAGTCGATTTGGTTTTTTGCTTAAAAATTACTTGTTTTAGTTTATTAAATCAAACGTCAAAAGTAAAAACTGACCATAGACTTTCGTTAAATACTTTTTTTTTTGTAATTATAAAACTGGCCAGATAGTTTTGGCATAAATGTAGGTTAGTAAAAAACTAGACACAAATTTTTAATTATAAAATAGCTTGACATAAATTTTGTACACTTAAAAAATGGGCATACCTTTTTTTTTAGAAGTGTACCTAACTTTAATATAATTTAGAAACTAATGCTTAATTTTCACTAGGCATTAAATGACAACATTTTTAATGACAATATTGGCCATTAAGAAATTTTCGTGCATTACGTTCAAAAAATTAGTCATTATGTCTGTTTCCTTTTTAAATGGCATAGGTTTTTTATCATTTCAATGCCTAGTGGAAATTCGGCATAGCCAACTTTATTGGGAGCCTGAAACCTGGATTTGAGTTTTTGAAAATTTAAAAACTGGGCATACATCTTTTTTATAAAAAGCTGGACACAAATTGTTGGCAATTTAAAAACTGGATATAAAGCGTTTTTTTATAAAAAACTGCACACTAATTTTTGGATATTAAAAAACTGTAAAAAAATTCATCAAAAATTGGGTCTTTTAAAAACTTGTCATAAATTTTTGTTGCTAAAAAAATTGACACTCATTTTTAGAAAATTAAAAACTGGACATGATTTTATGGTAATTAAAAAATTTGGCATGAATTCATTTTGGTGATTTTTAAATTGGACAAATAAAGTTAGCATCTACTCAAGTAGCACACTGGTGTATAACTTGATGTAAATTTACGAATTTCGGTATAAATCTGATTAATTGTTGAGTGTTATGAACACCATTATGAATGAGATGTCAAAATCAGGGCTGCAAGCCACTTCTGAGAAAAAAGTTACGTACTTTTAGCCAAATCTGTAGTAAAAACACGTATATCTAAATTGAAAAAAAAATTAACTACCAGTCGGTTCAACTCACTTCCGGTCGAAACCGGAAGTCGGTAATACCACCAAAAAACAGAGCATCTCCGATTCAGTATGTAAAATTTTTGTGGTATTCAATAAAAAACATTCCTCCTTTTCAGAGGGGGTGGACGTATGATTTAGGACACCCTTTATATTACATATACCACAATCAAAGGAATATATATATATACATTTTCTTCGCAAGAATCACATGCCTCTCTTTCTGATTAACTCAATCAGAAATTTTCGCTTCTCACTCTTTCTCTTTCATACAAACAAATTCATTAACTTTTCAACTCTATCAAACTTTTAATAGTTGCTCGTGTTTAGCTCTTCAACCTTCAAGCCTCGATCCAATAGCACTAACTATTAGTACTCACCTTCGGCGCATGAAGATATATACCGATGATCGTAACAGTAAACCATTTCATGGCCCAACCAATCATCAACTGAATAATCGGTTGAACGTTTCTCATCTCTTGTTGCGTGGTTATTTTCTTGTCGTTTACTGTTTGAACGCGTTTTGCGTTGTTTTTGATTATGCTGTTGTTGTTGTTGTTGTTGTTGCTGCTGTTGACGAATATGCTGTTGCTGCTGTTGATGTTGTTGATGATTGTGGTGGTGGTGGTGATGTTGATGACGTCCATTTGTCGAAACACCCGAATCGGATGAATCATTTTTCGAATTGCTACCGTTTTGTGGTTGCTGCTGTTGTTGTTGTTGTTGATGGTAATATCTGGGGTTACGTATATGCTGACTAGCTCTGCTACCATTACGTTGCACAGTGTCATCTGCAAGAGCGGCGGAGAGAGAGAGAAGAGTAGCGGAGAAAAATTAGTGAGCTGTTTTTTTACAAGTTATGGGGATTTCAATAAAAACAGAGACTGAAATCAAAGTTTATGATACGGCTAAAAGCAAAGCCCAATGTGCCTTGGGTAATAGTTTAAATTTATTCCAATTTGATTGGAAATATGCTATTCATTTTCCTTGCAAAAAAATTGTGAATAGGGTAAGGTTAAGCTACTGCGTAACTTCGCAGAGAGCAAGGGCCGGATATTCAAAGGGGAAGTGCTTTCAATCGATTCGGCATTTTTTGCACATTTTATCATAACTAAAGTCCAAAAAATCTAAAAATATTTATGAAATACAATGAACCAAAGTAATCCCGAGAGGAGCAGGAACACAAATACAACCGAAAACTACTGCAAAAAATCTAAAAATGTTAAAAAAATTCCAAAGGTTCTTAAAAACTGTCGAAACGTATTTCAAAGTTCTAAAAAATCCGGAGTTTCAAAAAATTCCGAAAACTTTCAAAAATGACGAATCATTTATTTTATTTTGCTTTTATTCCGTTTTATTTTATTTATTATTATTTGCTCGCCGTTATTGTTTAGGGTACACCCAAGCGCCGCCGCTAAACAAATTCAAACTCAGGCAGATTCAAATTCCCAACACTTTTGTCAGCTGTGTCTACTGTGTACTAAATAGCAGTACTGCATTATAAATATTTGTGTTTGATTATTTTCTTGTTTTAATT